GTTAATTAAATCGAAATATATTTTAAAAAAAAAAAAAAAAAAAAAATTCGGAAAATATATTTTGATTATTCCAAAACAGCGCCATCTATGGTAGACGATCGCAGTTACGAAGTCGATCGACGAAAGTCGACGCCTTCGGATGTTTTTGTAATTTAAGTTTTTTTGGCCCAAAGGATCTTTTACCCGGAAAAATAGCATTTTGTATACAAACGTAAACATGTCTTTACCTCTTTCTAAAGTGCTGGCACCGAAAAGAGGCAACAGTTTAGACGTAGAAAGGGAAAATTTCGAGAAAACCCAAGTGAGTACCATTAATATATACAAATCGGTGGAAGTTACTTTCGGTAAAACATACGTATGTAAGTCTATGGGACGATTAACTAAAAGTGATCCCTACCCGCGGCGTAATGCGAGTTAATTATTTAATTTAAAAAAAGTGCCTAATTATCGTATTTGTACTGTAGATTATTAAGATTTAATGCCTTTATAAGGATTTACGGGCGTTAAAATTGCTTTTCGGTGCCTCACAATGGATAAAAACAACAAAAAAAAAGACTGAACATAATGCAGGATATGCCCCTGGTGTGGCCTCAAAAATTCCTTCACTTTTCCTTTTAAGGAAGCTTTTCTCCTCGATAATTCCATTCATGATTTGCATAACCTCTATGCAAAAATGCCCACGAGATATACATTAGATGACATACATTTCAGGAAGCTTTATGGATGGATGATGTTTTATGTCAATAACCACGTTCGAACACTTCCTTTTTAGATAATATTCGGAATTATGCGATCGACGTCGGGAGATTTCGGCACGTCGCCTTCCGAAACGCGGATCCCGTCGGCCACCGGGAGCTTTGATTTGCCGAAGTAAATTGCGGCGTGGCTTCCCAATCGGATGCAAAAACTAGAATGAACGGTGCCACCGGAATTTGCCGTGGGCACGACATATTTACCGAAAGAGGTTAAGTGTCACGCGTTACTAGATTGATCTGATTTAGATAATACGTTTTAATTATTCTGTGTAAACATTATTCGATATATTAGAAAATTAAGTGATGATATACACGGATACTCGTGGCTTCTTGAATTTTATGAAAGGACTCTCTCTAAAATGCATTTCGGTAAAGTAGTACTTGTACGGAGGCTTGTAACTTGAACGTCTGCGAGGAAAACAGAGAAAAATGATGGTGAAACGAGCATGTAAAGTGAAAACAACTTTTTATTATTATAGATCGATATTTTACTAATAATGTCGATTTAAATAGGTTTCAGGCGTAAAGTCTGCCAAATTATCTTCCTCTCTTAAACTATTTATGAAGTTAATTAACTAATTTTAAAGATTAAAAAAAGTAAAATAAATAAAAGAATTTTTAATGTTCGTTATGCATAACGTCGAAATGTTAATTTTAGACCACTAGTATATCGAAAGCCATCAACAATCATGAGTCACCGGTGAAAGAAAAACATGTCCGAAGTATCCTTTTTTTTTTCATTTTTATGTATGTATTTACGTATTTTTAAGAATTAATAAGTACATTTCGGCGAGTAATTACGTTTAATTTAAAAAATTATTAAGTATTTCTACCGTACGTGTATTTAAACAGAGCATTTAACAGCAAAAAGAACTAAATGAAATGAAATACATTTATCTTAATTTAAGCTGCTGGCACTGAATCAATTCTGACATTAAAGTAACTGCCCTGATTAAAAGCAAGTGGTATATATCTTGGTGTATCATGTATAGTTTACTGCATTCACTGACAAATGAAGGTCAAGTTGATGAATTCGGCTTCACTTTACTCCCTATAAAATTGCTTCTTTTAATGTGTTAACCATATGTTCGAGTTTAACGTTTTAAAATTTTGTTTTTTTCTTCCAATCGTATTGTTCTTAAAATAGAAATTCTTCGAAGAATTTTAACCCCTCGATAATTTTATTAAAAAAGTATAATTAGAACTTTGAAACGTAGGCATACGTATCTATAACAGTTAATAGTGTGATAGTTTATCAAATAGTAGGAGCATTTTATTATTTCGAACTTTAATTTATTACTGTATATACCTCGATATTACCAGCAGCTTAAAAGAAAGTCTAGTATTGGCTTACGGAATTCGATATCTGCGTAAATACAAATAGCAACGGAGAGAACTTTGTCACGTGTCTGCCTCCGGTGCATAATCCACGTGGACTATGCTTAATTACGCAGAAATTTTCCGGCAAATTCAATTTAAAAAATAATTGTTTTAATTTAAAGCTTTCTCTTAATGTTATTTAATGTAAAAATTTAATTTTTAAGACTGTATTTTAATAGAAACGTTAGCAAATTTAAGGAAGAAATTCTTTAAAAATGCTATCAAACAGTTGATTTTTAGTATATCGAGAAAATACTCTTTTTATTTGTGTAGTGCAGATATTATATGTTATCAAAAATACTTCAAGTAGTTATTTTTACTGTGATAGTATTATCGATACGGTAAACCAATGTTTTCAACCTTCTTGAATACATAACCCCTTTACAAGTTAAAAAAAATTCTGGCAATCCCCAGGGCCATATTTAAACTATATCAGCGATTTTAAAAACTACATATTTAATTTTCTTTCTTTAAATGTCGATCGAAAAACCAATTTTACTGTAAAAAAAACAGGCACAGCCTTCTCGCTGAAATTCTAGTTTTTTTTTTTTTATTGTAGTGTAGGACCTACAAACACTTGTCTTTTCTTACACCCGCGACCCCCCCGTGTAAGACTTTGCGACCCACAGGTTGAAAAACACTGCGGTAAACTATCAATTAGATCTAGGGTTCAAAACGTAACCGTTGTTAGATCCTATACAAATATTCAGATGCAATATTGGGAACATTCCGTGAAAAGGGTGCAGGTACATTCTGGAGTGTTGTCATGAAATTACCATTACAAGGAAATCCAATAGTCTGTTGGAAGTTTTGTCATGTTCTTCATAAATTACTTCGTGAAGGTCATCAGCACGTAAGTAAAAATTTTAATTAATCATTTAGGACATGTAAATTAATTTTTCTTTTTTTTTTTACTTCCTTCCTACTATGATTTATTTTCTGTTACTTATCGAGAAACTATTATCAGATCGTCTGCCGTCGTGTCAATAATAGAATTATTTAACGATAACAATTATTCGAGAGATAGTACGTGTTTAAATCCTACTGCTATATGCAAATATTTATCAAGTGATATTATTATATTAATTATATTTATAGAAATGTTAATGATATAAAGCTCTAGAAATCTTAAATTTTTCATTTTTGTGTGTATTTATATTTGATTAATTAATTAATTAATATTGCTTTACCTAAGTGCGCAAACTTTACTGCATTATAATTTAAATTCAAAATTATTTAAGTTAGAACTGATTTATTATAAACAATGTATTTTTGCAGACATAACTAAATCAGGAAATGTAACTTGCATCTGTTCCTAGAATTCCTGTTGTAAACATTAATTATTAGATATAATATTTTACTTTTACAAGCTGTCAAATGCTTATTCGGATATATAGATTGCATTAGATAGTAAATTTTATAAATATCAGCTAGCAATAATAATTAAAGGTTGTGATAACAAAATTAGGCAAATTTTATTAATAAATAAATCAAAAACAACTGTTTATCGTGTCAATTGAACGATTTTCCTGCCTTATTTCAGATTCATAGAATATTTCGAGTACATTCACTTCATTGAATTATACGTGAACATTGTATTAATATTCTAATTAAATAAAAATTTTGTTTTGTTAGAGCAAAATTATGTAATTTTCAATTGTATTTGGGTCTATAGATCCATCTGGTGATAATTCTAGCTATATTTTGAGTGTAAGCGGACCCTTGAAAGGGAGCATAGCATCCCTGTAGAGAGTTGTACCAGAGATTGACACGATATAATCAAACTTAAATTCAAGGGAAGAAAGAGGGAAGTAAAAACTAAATGCCGAACATATCCTAAACAAAATGCATACTAAAATCCACTAAGAAATGAAGTATTTGTGAAAATATAATTCACTTTTTTATAGTAAATATCACAGTCACTTTACCAGTACGTTATAAATGGCTTGTTAAAACATTCAACTTTCCAAACGTACCTTTAGATTTCAGTTGTCCGTTCAACATTGCAAGTTACACTTACAAACTGTATGAATACCACACTACATAACAGAAAAATATTACATATGTGCATGTAGTAATAACCAAGTTTATATAAAGGTGGTGTAAGTGTATTGGAGCCACAGTAAGACTCTAGAAAAGCATGGATCTATAGTCTAGAACCATTTCGCTCTAATGAAGTCATGAGTGTTGAAAGGAGCAGTTATGCTTGTTACTAATTTCATAAATATATTCATAGGAAATACCATTTGTTTGAAATGCTTATTTAATCGATAACTTCCTTAAAAATATCTAAAAGAAATTTTTTTAAACTGTATTTTTTAAGTTATAAATTATACGAAGATAAATTTTACTTGTTAAATTTATTGCCAAGTGCTCCACCCAATTACGTTTTATGTTCTAATGCAATTTGAAATCTTTGCAAATATAAATTTTAAGTTGATAAATTTAGAATCCTAATAAATTATGGTATAAATATAGGCGTCAGCCTACCATTCTAGAAAACCCAGGATTGAATCTGGGCCTAGAGCTCCAGAAATTTGTCTTGTATACGTTCGGCCCCGTCCTCATTTTCTGTCTGTTCCATCATAGGCACATATGGACCTATAAAAGGCCCTCTTAGTGCACATGGATGGAAAAAAAGTCAGAAGTAATAATAAATATATGAATTTTGAGTCTTAAACTTTTTAATTTTAGTTAAAATATAATTTTTTTTTTAATCTTAAAAAAAAGCNACGAATGTAAATATGCTTTTCATAAATGGCGATAGCAGATCGATAAAGATTGCAACATCGTTCAAAAAATCGGCAAATAATCTAAAATAAAAATTTAATATCACGGTATTTAATTCAAATTAGCATCAACTACTTTATCTAATACTTTATTTGTATAAATTATTATCTACCTCCATTTTTTTGGATCACAGTCAAGATTAGATCTGTAAGAAAGTAAGTAAATATTTATAAAAAAATCCTTCATCTTTCCACCCTGTGTGTACTAAGAGTGTCTTCCAATAGGCCCCTCATAGATTCGGCTGGGCTCACGATGGGGTGGCTAAGTAGCACAGGACAGGGTCTGATAAACACAGGAAAGATAATTATTAATCTGAATGACTGAGGCGATTAAGATGTCTGCTTGAATTCAATCTCGAATCACCTAGAGGGATAGGCTGTAAAAAAATCCTAGGAATTTTTCATGGGTGGTTTGTCCCAGATGTGTCTAGACCTGTCCCCGTTGCAGCCTCCATTGTGAGCCTGGCCAAACTCATAATGAAAAGCTCTCTTGTACCAATAGGGCAAAAAGAGAAAAAAAATCCAGAAAAAACTTCAAATTGCTCACCCATTCATCCATGCAAATAAAATACGTCCAACCATACCTGTACCATCTATTTTTAAAAATAAATCATTAAATCTGAAATTAAGTAATAAATATTGTTTAAAAATTTATCATTGTCGTCATTACAGATTTGTATTTTACCTTTTAATAACCAGGTTATAGTCGCGGCCATGGGCGTAGCCGTTTCATCGCCGACGCCAACTCCCTTTAAAACTGCATGAGTAGAAAGTGTGCCGGTTATACTGCTAGCAAATGCCTGATTATAATTTACAATATTTAAAATTAAAATAAAGTTTTATAAATATTTTATAATTAAATAATTTGTATTAATAAGCTAAACTTAACACAATGTTAACAATTTTAATTACCTGTATGCTATCCCATAATTGATAAGTCAAATAGTCCTTGCTGACACTATCGGGATAACCTTGAGGCAGGAAAACAGACTGTAAAGCATAGAATTCTTATTAAAAATTACCAAGATTTTATCTCTACCATGCATCTTGATAGTGTTGTAAATAATTCTCAAGCAAAACAACCAATTAAAAATGTTTGAGTGACTTGCAGCATNAAATGCTTTTCATGAGAACTCATTTGTTTTCCATGTTATTCATGTACAAAGGCCTTGGGTGACTTCTGGGTCAACCTGTTTGTATGTGGTACGTGCCGGTTATACTGCTAGCAAATGCCTGATTATAATTTACAATATTTAAAATTAAAATAAAGTTTTATAAATATTTTATAATTAAATAATTTGTATTAATAAGCTAAACTTAACACAATGTTAACAATTTTAATTACCTGTATGCTATCCCATAATTGATAAGTCAAATAGTCCTTGCTGACACTATCGGGATAACCTTGAGGCAGGAAAACAGACTGTAAAGCATAGAATTCTTATTAAAAATTACCAAGATTTTATCTCTACCATGCATCTTGATAGTGTTGTAAATAATTCTCAAGCAAAACAACCAATTAAAAATGTTTGAGTGACTTGCAGCATATTGTCAGCATGAGGTTATTTGTAGACATATTTAGTGTAATGATTAATGTAGTGGTATGCTGCTCAGATACAAGAGTGTGGTGTATTTAAAACCTAACCATGTGTTCACACACACACAAAAGAAGATTGATAAAGTCAAATTGTTTTGTACCTGGATTAAATTAATACAAGGTTGTTTATCCCTACATAACTATGTTTTGAGCTTTCCAAATAGTTAGATTATGACTCCGAGATCTACAGTTAATATTGCATAATAAAATTAAACTATTTACTAAATATACAGGGTGGTCCAGAAGTCACATGGGTTTTAAATGTGAACATCTGTTCCTGTGAACCGACATTTTGTTCCTTTTGCAGATACTGGTAGACCAGAGTCTACCAGTATCTGCATCCATCACCATTCATCACCATTCCATTCATCACAATGAAATACACCATCATGAGTATACCAGTAATGAGATCAGGGGACTGTGACCTGCAGTCCTAACCTCATGTTCTCAAATTCTTTTTGTGGAGTCAACAAAAGGAGAAATTGTACACAAACAAATTGGCAAACTACAGCTGCTAAAAGACATCTGTATGGCAATTCAGGAGTTAACTTCTGCTATCCTGCAGTTAGCCTAGTTGTGTTGCATCAAATGTACAAGGGATTGTCTGTGTGAAAAAGCAAACGGGAGACATTGGTGCAATGTCTTTTCCATGTACAAGGGGAGACCCAAAAAAAAAAAACCCGGATTTTTTGTATAAAAACTTTATTTATTAACTTTTTTACAAAATTTCTTCAGTCACCTTCAAAGTACTCTCCATTAGATGCAATGCACTTGTGAAGTCTTTTTCCTCACTGTTTGAAGCATCTCTGGAACTCTTCAACTTTGATATCGTCCAGTGCCCTTGGCAAAGCTGTTTTTATCGCCTCCACATCATCAAAACGCTTCCCTTTTAGATTTTTCTTCATTCTTAGAAACAGAAAAAAGTCGCACGGGGCTAGGTCTGGTGAATACGGAGGGTGAGGAATGACAGGCCATCCCCAAGAAGCCAAACAGTGGGTCACTTGTAAGGCTGTGTGTGCGGGGGCATTGTCGTAATGAAGGAACCAGTCACCTGATCGCCAAAGTTCCGGACGTTTCCTTCACACATCCTCTTGCAGACGTCTTAACACTTTTTTGACGGATTTTTACGTTTTCATCATTTCAAGATGTTGAAGGATGCCCAGGACTTCGCATGCAGAATAAAATAACAGTAAGAGAAACACAACACTATAATCAAACACAAACCTACGAACTGATGCTGTTTGCACAGCTGTTTCATGAAGGTCTCTACTAACCCCATGTAATGGGAGAACTCTCAACTATGAATGGCAGCGCGGTCTCAGTTTGGTTTTTTTTTGTGTCCCCCCCTTGTAAAGCCTGCGTATTATCTGCATAATAAATATAACCTATTATATATTGGAGCTACTACTAGAATGCTCCGCCTCTGTTTCACAGAACATTGTGACAATGTAGCACATAACAAATGTACAACAGAGCTAGCTAAAAAAGTGATAGAAAGTCATTTTGAGCCACTTCGGTTGCAAATTTCCCTCCTAAAATGCCATGGAAATCAAAAAATGTTATTCATATGGGAATCACTCAACATTATCATCGCACAACTCTCCTCTCCCAAGCCAGATATACCAGCATCATTTAATTTTCTAAAGTTGTAAATCACACGGTTCCAATAAAACACCTTGTAGCATCATTAGCCATGTTCTTTCCATGCTTGTACAGGACGAGCAATGTGAAAAAACATCAATTGACGTTCAGGTTCTTTTTTTCAAATTCAAATGCTTTATTCTCTACGAACGGTTCTGCCCAAAGAGAATGGATACATACCGTGGAAAGTACTTGCAAAATAAATTACTTTTATATAACGCCGACAGACAGTTGTATACGTTATCTTTTTCTATTAATATTTGGCATGTGTGGCTATTTAAAACGTAATAAATGCTTTTCATGAGAACTCATTTGTTTTCCATGTTATTCATGTACAAAGGCCTTGGGTGACTTCTGGGTCAACCTGTTTGTATGTGGTACGTGTAAGGTGTGTGTATTTCACCATGAACATCAACAAATCATTACATTTACGTGATATAACGTTGCAAAATATTTATAAATTCTCCATAAATCTCAAATATTTATAAGCTTCTACAGATAATATTTACGCTACTCGTAAACAATTCTTACACAAATATTTACTTACTCCAGCTGAATGTTTACAATTTTAACTCACCGTAAAGAAATTCTTCAAACTGGAAAATCTCCTTTCGTTATCGATCATTATAGGCCGACTGCATCTATTTTCCATGATATATCGTCTCCTTCGCGTGCTCGAACCGTAATTTTCAAAACAAACAATTTGTCCATTCTCCATGGCTAATGTCTAACTAGGCCACGTGTAGATCTGATAGTTTTTAATTCAAATTTTCGACAATAGATGGCGGCTAAATATATTTCGTATATAAAAAAATTTTATTCGTAAATATTCAAATTTATAAACATTTTAATAATGAAAATTTATATGCAAATATTAATTTTTAAGAAA